GATCAAAATGCAACAATTTAAAATAGTCTATGTTGTATGGTCATTGAATATGAGTCTATTTCCGATAGAGAAAATCTAATTCAGCACTACACCTAGTCATAACTGCGCAAGCGTAGTTAATTGTCTTTGCCGTATGGTTATTGAATATGAGCCCGGTATTATTTATAGACTGGGAAAATCCAATTCAATGCATGTTTAAACTACTTGATATCAGTTTCACAAATTATCAGAAGTAATTACTCATCAGGGTTAAGGAAGTAGAGTGACATGTTATTGTAAGTTTAACTACCCTACCATTCAATCAAATTGACAGCGCTATTTTTACATAAACAAACCTGTTTTATACACGTTAGAATCAGTGTACTTTACTGTTTGAGTTAAACTTTATTTGTATCCTTAAAAGTAATAACTTTTAACGTGAAGTTATAGTAAATTTTAATCTTGAAGGAAAACGTTTTCTAGCATGTTACTATAACAATTTGTTATCACTTCTGCTCATGTATCGATAAAGACTTCTATTTTTCTTTAATGTTTATTTTGGACCAACACTAAGAGAATAAAGTGAAATATTAATTAAAAAACATTTTGATCACAAAACGTTGGCACTAACTATTTATTTGAGCTAAATAAATCAAAAGTACAGTACAATAAATTAAATCTTACGACATAAGACAGCGTTACAAACTTTGATTTTATTAATTTTATATTTAAAATTAGGAATCATGAATGTTACAAGTGCCAAAAAGCATTATTTATAAAGATAATTACGAATTTAATATTTCATGTAAAAAAGGGAGGTAATTAAAAAATTGTTTCTATAAATTCTAAGTCAAATTGTCCAATAAGAAATGAATGCATATAATTTAATGATAACCTTTAAGGAAGTTAGGTGTAGCATTAAAATGTAACAATTTTTATGTGAACGATCACTTCCCAAAGAAGTTATCGACAGGATTATGGACCTATTGCCAACATTGAATAAAGATAGGCAGAAAGGTCATAAGGCTGTCTTATCATAAGGCTGTCTTAAGATACCTTGTTCCCTGCGGTCTGGAGACCGCAGGGTATTGTTACGCGTTTAACTTTTGATGCATGGAGGAGCACGTGACCTGTTTCCGGTACATGGAGGAGCATGTGATCTGTAAACCGTATATGATTGGTTAATTGACCTTTTCGAAAACCCAGCTAAATACCGTTAGCCGGTACGTTACGGATTCGCCTGTAGGGAATTAGTCCGAATTATACCTAATTGAGAACAAAAAACTATTACGTGATATTTCTAATTTTCTATAATTATTTTACCGTTTAAGGTGAAAAAACTTGATCATGTGTTTGAAAATTATCAATGTTTCCTTAATATCTATCTCAAATTTTACAAACAATAAATTGTTTAAACTGAAAATCTACAAAATTAAAATATTCGTGGCATCTGCCATAATAAATAGAGATATTTTCTGCGTAAACTTGTGTGTTTACTAAATTTATTTTTTGCTCGGAATTATTCATAAAATGGTAGGCCTATTTAATCATTTTCTTAAAAAGAAATAATTGTTTTATGTTCTTCAACGGTCACCAGTTTCCAAATACCTTCTTCTATATTGATCGATTATTGTCAACTTTATTCCTGATACAAACGTTTATTTATCCCCCCCCCAAATAATGTTGAAAATAGTTAAATGGAATATCTTTATATCATTAAAATGTTCACCGCAGGAAACCATTTTACTTGTACATTGATAGAAAGGCTCAGAAAATGGAAAGCGGAGAGGATGAAATGGGTGTTTTCCATGGAATAATAACGGTTTAACGGAAATTAAAAGGTGAAACCACGATTTTATGAATACGATTATTGAACATGACATATTTTGCGAAATTTAAACTTGCTGCAATAAAAGCAGCAACATCGATAAATCCGGCTTTATATCGCTATTACATATAACTATCATAGACAATTCAAATAATATTGCGTTATATTATAGAGATTATTTACAAGGTGTATTAATGGTTTTAATATTGTTAAAAACCATTATGACACTATAATTTCGATTAAACTAGATAAAACATTTTTCAATTTTCAAGAAGATGCCTACGTCTGTTTTGTGAACATATGGTGTGAGTGCTCATACTTGTTCTTTACATTACACTCAACTCTTTGGTTATAGTCCTATTTGAACGAAACAGGTAAGTAATTGTTTAAAATTAAAATGAATGATATTCAATACTTGGTGTAAAATATAAAAAAATTGTATACGATATACATGTTTTCTAAATCATGTAAGGAATTTCCATATAATTATGTTTACTATAACTTTATTTGTAGCTGTATCTTTTTCAATATATTTAGATCTATTCACATTTTTTTTCAAAAATCAAGTCGATGATCATTGGAGAGATTAGTCAAGTTAGACATCGTTTGACGCAACATGTGGTTACGGGGCGCACATACGGAAAAAACATGTACATTTCCAATGCCTTCGAGTGAGGGAGGTGAGTGTATTGGAGAAAGTGATGAGTGAAATAAATGTTAAAAAGATAAATGTCGATATCCTTACTTTACAATATCAAAGAAAATGATAGTAACTTTATAGAAAGATATATTGTGATTTCTAAAATAATTTTTTTTACGAAAGTTTGAAATATTTTTTCACACTTAGTCATAAAAAAAAAACCAGAATAAACCTCACATATGAAACACAATTGATTTCTAGTAATGGATGGTCAATGGGCAAATTGGTCAGACTTGAGTTCATGTCACCTCACCTGTGGCGAATGAATTCAACTACGTGCAAGAACATGTAAAAAGCCAGATCCAGAGAATAATGGAACCAATTGTTTAGGAGAGATTTTTTTAAACCCCTGAATGCTTCAAAAAGAAGTTGTCCAGATATTTGTATGGTATACTAAAAAAAGTCTTGATTATATGTTATCAAATCCTGGCATGACTTTTTAATATGAGAAAAGAATACTTAACTGTATAAAACAGTCGCTAAATTATTTGTATTGTTTCCTTGGGATCTATAAAGTTTTAACTACATTTGTTATTAGTTTGACCTTATCTAATAGTTCAACAAATACGACAATAGAACAAACGAATAAAATGACAAGCTGTACACGGTTTTCAAAAAGGGAAAAAATGGCTATTGTACGGTTCTTAGTTAGATAATGAAACACAGAACCAACAAGTCATCAAACAGTATATTCTGCCACTGTACTATCGAAGTGTTAGGTTTTTACTGGCATGGCAAAACCACACAAGATAATAAACTTACATCTTTTGGTTTTAAGGATAGTGTTTATCAATTTATATTGTGTTTAGGAAAATAGAATAACTATGTGATTTTTACATTATTGAATTCGTTATTAATGTTTCCTTGTCCATACTCGTGTTATTTTACACCACAAGCACAACTATTGTTGTGCCACAAAAACTAAGGGGTCTAGTTTGAAAATTTTTGTTCAGTATATTTTGTAGGGATAGTAACTATACCTGGATGGATGAAAGAAAGGAAATAAAGAATAACATGGATCCATACATTTCCAGTTATCAAATATTGTACAAGGTGTCACATTCTGGTTGAGTAATGTGTTAGATACTACGATACTTGTAATGCTGTTTATTCTATAATTTAAAAGTTAATGACCTTTCCTTTTTGTACAGCTAAATTATAATGAATAGTATATTTTAATCTTATTACTACATTTGATGAATAATTTGTATAAGATTATTCAATTTCGCAAACAATATCTGGGTATAATTTATTTTAGACGCCATGCCTACATTCTCTAATCTACGCCTACAATAGAATAAACGAAAAATTCAAGTGCTTTTACCAGCATGTAAATGGTTTTGAAATTAAACCAAATGGAACTTATACTTGTAGTATACCTGGCGTGTACAACATTTCTTTAACACTAGTAAAGAAACGATCATCAGCAATGGCTGATATAGTTTACAATAGCCTTTAAAAAAGACAGTCGTGTTTTTATAAAAGTTGATCCAACTGACGATGGAACTGGCAAGGAAATGCTGCTATATCCTATTCTATTTGGATTGACCTTGACATAAGATATACTATGTACATTTGTATCTTGACAACTGCAACAGTCCGCCAAAAAAATATATGGAATATTGATCTTTTACCGGAGTCCTGCTTTATCATAACAATTAACTTCTATATTCGTTTTTGGAATATACTTCCATATCTTTATTGTAACTTATGCAATTGCAGTGATCTTGTTAGAACTTTACAATTGTTGTATTACATCCTGATGATGAAATTAAATACACAGCTATTTATTGTTTTCACACACAACTTACATGTACTTCCTGTTATCTTAAAGGTTTAATAGATACCTGGAACGAAGCTAATGAATGAACCTGTAAACATATCAAACCGTTCATACTACAATATACAAATGTCAATCTTGATATCGCCTTTCAAATTGTATCATTTTCATTTAAATTAAAATAATGATCAAGGCTCAACTTACCATGTATGGTTATGTGTTTAAAGAAGTTAATTTTTCACATAAGAATCAAAAACAAATGTAAAGAAATAACAGATTAATTGCCTATTTCTTAGCTCATGCTGCATCTATATTTACTATTTTCACAATTTTCGTATCTAACAATGGGTTTTACCGTTTTTTTAATAACATAATTCATTCGATGATATTTCAATCCTTCTTTAAATTATCTTTTCTTGTAAATGTTAATATTTAATCTCAAATTTGTCATATATAAATGTTTAAATTATCTTTTCTTGTAAAAACCATTATAGACTTGTTAATATTTAATCTCAAATTTGTCCTATATAAATGTATGTTTATTCGAACAAACATAATATTGCTGGATAAGAGCCGAGAAACGTGCTTTCAATTTTCATTTATCTTAGTTAAGGGCATATACATGCATCAAAATGAATATAAGAACACTAACAATGATTCTTTTGCAGATAATTAAAAATGACTGCAAATTTCACAAATGTAGCGATAATGATAATCATAGCCACTGCTTTTATCTAACTCGTATGATGACTCGAAGATTTATATTACTCCTCACGATGATTTTCTTTATATTCTGTTGTTTGTAATATGCTTTGTTATTCTGATATACGATAGGACCCTTTTTATACCCATCAGTAAATTTTGACATGAGTTTCAGGTTATTTTTACCCTTATTTATCATTTATCATATTCTAATGCAAATTTTAGCATTATTATATTTTCATTATTCATATTTCAGAAAATCCTAAAATTAACTGAACACGAGGGGGTAAAAACTCACATTTTTCATTTTTTGTTTGCTTTAACCCTGCACCACCTGGGTTCACACCTTTTTCGTCAATAAAAAACTAAAACTATCTTTAAAAGCTAATTTTCTAGAATAGCAAGGGTTGCAGTGGTTGAAAAGTCATTACAATATTATTTAAAAAAAAAAACAGAAATGACTTGAAATTGAAATCCATAAAATAAATTTTAAGAGGGGAATTTTGAGGATAGTTCAGTAAATATTCATATTGTTGACAATAGCTCACTTCATCGGTATTATAACCCTGGTTTCCAGATTGTCGATTTTCATGTGTTTCTGTTCGGCAAATATCAAAAACACGAACGAGCATGAAAAAGCACCTATGTTATGAATAAGCAAAAAGGAATATCAAGGCCAGAATCCCAGGCTACGGTATTATATATTCAACTTATTTTCAACACAGACTTTTTCAATGTATGACTTTTTTATTTTCGCGCACACTTTCTTTTAAGTATCAGTCATTCAAAATGAGCACTAAAAGTTAAATGAAATCATATTCCAATGAGAAATTGTATAATTCACCACCATATATGTATGATGCAATTGTTATTATAACATAAACATAGAAACTTGAGAAGGAATTTTTTTTTTTTTTTTTTTTTTTTTTTGTCAAATTATTACGCTTACTCATTTTGTGTATGATGGACTTGACCAAATTGATGTTTGTACAAAAGAATATGCAGTCTCCAAGACATACCTCTCGAGACAAATAGATGGAGGTAATACAGGGAAGATATTTAGCCATTATTCCTTACACCCATCTTATTTTAGTATCTACTTGCAATCTCTATAAGGCAGACATCGTCTCTGTGTGTATCTATTACATTTCTATTCTCACACTCTCACCTGAAACAAGATTGATAAAATAAAGATATTTCTCTTTTTGATTGTGGAAATATCAATTTTAATCGGAAGAGAAAAGTATTTCTTCTAGTAGATTACTTGTCTTTTTTTCTGATAATTCCGGTTCGCGCGGTAAGGTTTTATTTTACACGTTTATTGTGTGGATAACACATTACCGTGTTTACTGAAATAGCTATCTTAACTGATAAAATGCATCATAGTGGCAACAACTGATTTATTTGAAGTCATGCTCATTTATTGTTTACATAATTTGATCTTTCAATTTTGATTTAAGTTGTCTTATCGTTTAAGTTATACTTATTACAGGCCTTTTCAGAAACCGAATATCTAACTCCTTTTTAGAGCAGCATGCCTCCAGATTTATGCTAATTTTCATGATTTTAAAAATGTATTTGAAAGTGAAATATTGTAAATAAACCAAAAAGAAGCAATTTAAACAGTATCAATGGCACATACAAACCACATGAATTGCCAAAAAATAGTCAAACATGCATAAATAGCCTTTACTGCGTTAGTAATGCAGTAGAAATATATTAGTAAATACTGAAAAAGGAGTCATTAATTGCACATAACATGTAAAATATTACTTGAATTTTGAAAGTTTTACCTTTCCTTACATTTCTTAATTTTGATTTCATTGAAATACTCATCTGGAGTCATATTGCTTTAGCCTGTTAACACGCGAAGTTCTTGTAATACAGAACCATCAGTGAAAAAATTTAATATAATAAAAAAGATTACGTGAGCAGAGCGGCCAGGGAGATAACTAGAGCAGTACGTTTTCTTAAGTCTTTATAAATAACTTGCTTCTAGGGAATATTATTGACTAGGTGATATTTATTTCAATGATTGATTAAAATAGTACCATGTGACGCAGCATTTGATTTGGCTATATAGTAAAAAGTCTTCGTGAGGTATAATGAAACTACTTGATTAGCATAAAAGATTATTGGTATATATTTTCGTATAGTGAATTACATTTTATTCCGTTGTATAAGTAAAACATACATACTCAGTCATGATTAGAATGTTTTTGAAGTATTCTAAACTCAAAGTGTACTTACTAATCATTCAGTGCTTGGAGATTATTAAAACCCATTAATCGATATACTTTGCCATGCAATGGCACTGATTATAATATACTGTCAACATACAGTTCTATGATTATTTAGTAAATTGTAATTTGTGTCAACGTCAGTATTAGTAAGTTAAAGTAGCATTGTGATACAGTTGCTCTTTGGGAGAAATTATTTTTCATTAAACGTGTACGATAAATAATTCCAAATTTCATACAACTTCTAAAGTGTCATTTGCATTTCTTAAGTCATAAATCACTCAAAATGAACCAAGCTTTTTCGGCAAAATTAATTAAGATAATCTAATAAAAAATCAAGATAAGGTAATAATTTCTTTTCCATGTGAGATTTATAACAGGATTTGTTCACGATATTTCTAAAGGCTGTTTTGCATGATTATCTTGACAGCTTTTTTGGTAGTTAACATGGGTTATTATTATTGTTGTTTGCAATATGAAAACCATCATCATTGTTTAGTTCACAATAATTTTCTTTTAAATCTATTTTCAAAATTTTCATAATAATTTACATAAATCAAGAGGCAGGCTGCTTTAAGTCATTTTGTACTGTTTTATTCTATCATACATTATGTGT